AAAAAAAAAAAAAAAAAAGTAGAGACACAGGAAATCCTCTCACAGCAATCGTATGAGATAGGCTTGATGATTATCCCCATTTTAAAAATGATAAACAGGCTCAGAGAGGTTAAGTCTGTCATACAAGGTCACACAGCTGGTAAGTAACAAAGACAGAATTTGAATACAGTAATCTAGCTCCAGGGCTGTGTGGGAAACCCCTGTGGTCTATAGCAAGTTCAAGAGAAAAGCATGGAGAGAGAGTTGTTATTGATCTTAATGGCCTAGGGATTTGGCAATTGAAATGGTACGTAGAAGCTTGTTAGGTGTTGAAGGAGCAGAGGAGATGGTCATGGGCTTTTCCTGCTCAAGTTGCTCTGTAGGAGGAACTGGGCTAGAGAGTTGTTTCACAATAGGACCCTAGGGAGCTAGAGGAAGTTAGAAGAAAGCATAAGGATGGAATGATAGTGACTACTATCCCTGAGTTTACTGAGTTCTAAGTACTTTGTCGTCTAGCAACTCTATGAAGAAGGTTGAACCCTGACCATTAGTACGTAAGGTGCTGCTCTGGCTGGAAGAATGCCAGGCACTCTGGACTGTGGTCTTAGGCTGCATCTAAGCAGCAATCAGGGCAGGCCACATCCTAGTCAGTTCTGTGGTACTGTGTACCTGCTCCAGTAGAAATGCAGTCCACGTGCTGCTCAGTTTGGCCCAAATTGAAAGTGGCCCAGGAAGCTAGGTCCTTCATGATTTTATAGGCCTTCAAGGTCATTGAACACAGCTGACCTAAGCAGAGAAACAAATTGGGAATGGTGGGATCGATTGCCTATGGAATTTTGTAGTTAAATCCTAGTCTTTAAAGGGGATAGGCTAAGACAACACACACAAGTGATAAAAAAAATAAAAAATAAAAAATAAAGGGGATAGGCTTGGTTCTAATCCCAGGAAGTCTACTAAATTCTCTGCCACTGTTTCATCATGTGTAAAATGGGGATAGTGATGACATTCACGCCTTTTTTATAGGTAGTAAATGAGTTGGGCATAGAATAAAGTAAGCATTCTGTTACCTGGTGCCCCCTCCATAAATAGAAGAGGGTGGTGTTGATAGTAGAGGCTCACTACACTTTTTCAATTCTATAAAATTAGGCCTAGAGAAGATTTCTCAGAGGAAGTGATGTACTCCCACAGTTAGAGAACCCACATGGGGTGGTGGTGTGAGTCTGAGGGCGGTGGGGAGGAGGATGTTGGGGAAGTAAAGTGGTTTGTACCACAGAGACCAGGGTGCTATCATGGATTTGAAACAGGAGCAGGTTGTTCAGAAATCCAAAGTTCTATAATAACCTAGGGCTAGAGGTAGTAATTGGAACAGAAGACCTTCAGGTGTCCAGTGTTAGTGTTTCACTCTTGAGCAGAAGCTCAAGACCATGTCATTCTGAAGGATCTAGAGCCACTAGAAGTCATGATTTACCCCATGGTTAGGAAAAGGCAGGGGACAGATACGTGGTATGGGCAAGGAGGGCTGAGTCAAATGGTGTTTCTGGATGGGTGTTGAAGTAAACCAGGAATTATTGCTTTAAAGGACTGGATTATGGGTTTTGCAAGCAGATAAGATCAGTGACGTCATCTGACTTACTTCACGTAAGAGATTTTCCGGCAGTTAGAGATTTGGGCAAATGATTCTTCGCACTTCCAAAAATAATTAGATAGTTCAGAGATCAAACCACAAGATAACCAGTCTTTTCTTTCTGAGCTGTTCAAGAATGACATAGCTGTTAAAGACATCAGGGGATTTTGACTTTTCTTATATGCAGCCTTAAGAGCCAGTAGCTCCTTTTTGTCAGGTAGTAACTATATTGTTATATTCTGCCATTTTTAAATATTTGGAGACAGGGTCTTGCTCTGTCACCCAGGCCGGACTGCACTGGTGCAGTAATAGCTCACTGTAACCTTGAACTCCTGAGGTCAAGTGATCCTCATCTCAGCCTCCCAAGTAGCTGAGACTACAGGTGTGCACCATCACACCAGGATAATTCCATTTTTTTTTTTTTTTTGGTAAAGATAAGATCTCGCTATATTGCCCAGGCTGGTCTAAAATTTCTGGCTTCAAGCGATCCTCCTACCTCGGCTTCTGAAAGCATTGAGCCTGAAAAATGACCACTAAGCTCAGTCATTTTTTAAAAAAATAATTCTATTTCTGGAATATTAGACTCAAAGGAGGCAGATGACACAAACAGCATGCTTCAGACTGAATTATGAGATCACTTTTGTCTTTTTCCTTAAATGTAGATAAATAATATTAATGAGACCACTTTGGAGAGAAATGTGGTATTTTATTCTGTAAAGGGAAGATGTTTTAGCAAGAACCATGCTCTCTAGCTATTCTCTCTGTCCAGAGTGCTTTTTCTTTTTGAAGAGACGATGGGGTTTTACCATAATGTTGCCCAG